TCCATGAGGTTGGCAGTGGCCCACTACCCTCACATGCCCAACACTGTGGCAGTAGAGGGTAGCTGAGATGAATTTGTGAGCTGCAGCACTTGCTGGGAAATTGAGCCCCTGGAAAGTGCCGTTTGCTTTGGCCAACTTGGGTTTAGCATTTGGCTTTATGCCAAGATGCCTTATGGACCCCTTTTTGCTCTTTCTGGAAGAACTGTTTAGAAATGAATACAAAAGATGTTGCAGGTAGAGGTGTTTATGAGATAAATGGGATTTTTACATGCTTCACTGTGAAGCATGATACCAGTCAGACAGGGAGCGGTGGGGCTGCTTGTTACTGCACCCTGGTGAGGGCTCCTCGTGTTTTATAAAGCAGATCCTCTGTGGTGCGGAAAGGAAGGCATCCAGAACGACTGCCTGGTCTAACAAACCCAGGCTTCTTGATGTAACTGCTGCCCTGATGCTCTCCAAGGATGCTTACCCGGGCACAAGCAGGAGCTGCAAAACATGTCCTGCAGATGCCAGTGCCATGGAGAGCATTTGGAAGTCCATTTGCTGGCTTTCAGAGGTTGGATGAGTGCTGCCTCTGTTGCTTCTGCCTGCTGATGGCTCCTTCTTCTCTGTGAAGAGGTCGTCTGTGTTCTGCCCAGTTTGATCTGTTGAACAGAGATCTATACCCTGTGCATTTTATTGCCTGCAAAAACCGGTGTTCCTTAAATTCCCTAAATTCATTTCCTTTGGAATACAGCGTGACTTAAGTACTTGGCAGGGGGAAGAGCAGTGGCGGCGATTCATGATGGTCCACCGTGCCCCAGCCCACAGGTTGTACTGCTCGGGAATCCTACTCTACATTAGTGCATAGGGAAAAAGCGGTTTAAGAGAGGCCCTTTTTCTGTTGTTGTCTGTGGATGGCTGCGGGAGGGTTCAGTGACGGAATTGTTGTGCAGTGGCTTGTAGTTGCTGGGGAGGAATAGTTCAGTGTGTGAATTAGTTTCACCAGCAGAAAAAATTAGCAGCTGGCTTCTGCAAAGGGAGGTTTAAATGTTATTGTTAAGAGACGATGAAACTCAGCCTGGATTAAAATATAGGCTCCATGGATATGGAGACAGAAGGGATTGAGGTGGTGTCTGCTGAGCACTCAGTCCCACTTACCCCAACGTTAGAGCCGGAGTTTTAGCCTGCAATTACTCAGTCGTGCCTTTCCTTCAGAGACAGGATGGCTTCTGTTTCACAGGGTATTTCTGGAATCTTACAAATGTGATGTTTCTGTGTTTTTAGACCCCAAAGTGCAAAGATCGCCTTTGTTTGTTTGGAGATTAATTTAAATTAGATTATTTCCCTCAGCTGCTCACATTTTACAGTAACTCTCATTAGTTTGTGCAATTATATTGCCAGTAGAAAAAGTCACGGATTGGAGCTTTAGAAGAAAAACAAAACAAAGGAATGATGATGTGTGGGGTTATTGGCATTTTTAAAAGATATTTGTGAGTTTAAAAAGTGAATGGTAGGAAACAGTGCCTTTGGCTTTCATGGTATCTGATGGTAATGTCAGTCCTGAAATATCGTACCTTTTCACTGTTTTTACTCTCTTTTGGTCTTGTAGCTTTATCCTTCTCAGAGGAGTTGAAATAAATGCCCAGTTGCTATAGGGCTTATCTTCCTCCATTTGATTTCATTCACATAGTCTGACTTTTATAACAATCTGTTTTCTAATGACATCAGCTCTACGCTTCTTTCTCTGCTCCAACCAAAGCAAAGAAAGCTCATGAATTGCCCTCCTTACAGCTGCGTCAACTGGTCACACTATTCCAGATACTTCTTAAACCTCTGTTGGAGTATGTTACTGTGTTAACAAAAAAAGATACTTGACAGACCAAAGGAAACAAATGTTTTTCCAGGTCATCTGTAAAGATAGTGCACAGCTTTGACATCTGCTAAGTGTGCTACTTGTCACCCTATTTTGTATTACACACCAGTTCAGAGATTAAGCCATGCTGCAGATGCTGTTTTTTAAAGTGTCACACTACAGTTCAGCTCTACATTGAGTTCTGTATTTATCTCAGTTGCTTTGATTTGTTAGCATTGGTAGAGTTGTTTCTGATTTCTGAGATTATTTGGGATTTTACTTTTGCTTGGTTTTAGTACATCTGAAAATCTCATCCAAATGTAGTTGGGTCCAATCAGTACAATCAGTGTGAAACCTTAAGAAGAGGGGGTACCAAAACGTCCTCTGTGAGGTGTTAAATAGTGGATTTTGTCTGCCCAGAGACTCCCACCCCAATGGGGAGCAAGGAACAGCCAGCTGCTAAAGGATGTTGAGCATTAGTCTAGCAACATGTTTGGTTCCAAGGGATGGTGTTAAGAGAAATACATCTATATGTGTATCCCTGATTTTATTAACTTCATTTTTGCTAAAACCTACCCACTGCAAGGAATAAATGAAGCTGGTATCCAAAACGGAGATTCCCCTGGGGAAACCTGCCTTTTTCACTTGTTTCCCTTCACATCCGCTGTCCTCCCAGCTTTACTTTCACGGTCAGCAAAACACAATGCTGACAGAAAAACGTACAGGAAGCTACGCAACATGCAGCTCCTGGTGCTAATTTGCATATAGAGACTTTCAAGTAAGATTTTTCAAGGAGATGCAATGTTTTCTTAGCAGGTTGAAGTTGAAGTTTACCGGAGAGATTCTAAGAAGCTTCCTGGCCTGGGAGACCCCGACATTGACTGGGAAGAGAGCGTCTACTTGAACCTCATCCTACAGAAGGTAACAGTGATGCTTATCTAATTTTCATGGGCCATTTATGCTGGAGAGGTTTCAGGGTAGGCATTGATCTGTACCCTTTCCTTGGGGCATTTGAACAATTCTGGAGGATATAAAGAAAGCATGTCTTTAACTTTGCTTTTGGGAGTCTATATGAACATAAACTGAGTTGTTTATTAATTTTCAGTAGAGTCCTAATCGCTTTCCTCAAAAAACTTTAATTATGTCCAGTGAAGCTGGGCTGAATTTGAGGCTCTGTGACATAGCCTTCCGTTTTGCAAAACTAAGTTTAACAGGTTTGGAGAGTGAATGAGACTGTTAAGACAAGCAACATGCCTTTAAGAGTTCACGGTACTGGTGCAGCTAAGGGAGGGAGATGCAGGTAAGGAAGTGTGCATTACACTGTGAGTTTGCTGCTCCTGACATCAGAGCTTCAGTAAAACTTTTTGTGGTGGTGGTGGAAGCATGAAGCTATAAAATTATTTCTTTATCTCATAGGTGGTTTAGTTCTATATTTGGATATTTAGTTATATTTATTTAGTTTAGTAGCAATCTAATTTAGTCATTAAATTATTAGTAATCTAATTTAGTTATTGTTACACTGGCGCTTAGGGAAGCTGAACATTACTGTACTCGTTCGAGATCCCTTAAAAGCTTTGTTGATTATGATCTCGGAACGAGAGACTGCTGGCTCATTGCACACATCCTGGAAAATGCATTGTTGTCATTCTCTCTCCTCCCTCCCAAAAGTCTCGTTGCAGAACTTTTCTGCAGAGAGCAGTTTCCGTCTCTATTTGATGCTCAATAAAACCAGAATCTCTTCACTACAGTCAGAATTCATAGATGTTGTCGCAACTGGGCATTGCTGTCCAGAGTTACCACACTTCTCCTTACAAGTGTTTTCAGGTTGTTTGGCAGGCTACATTAATTGGTTTCTGACCTCTCACTTGTGTTGCTTGTGTTCATTAGTGCTTCTGTTCTTCCCTTTTAGAAGGGAGGATGTCTTTTCCATTTCTACCTTAAAGTGTGCTTCGTGTGTGTGGGTTGATGCTTATTCACCCAGCTGACAAGCAAGGTAGTGTTAAACAATGTTGACAGGAGCTTTTTTTTTTTACCCATAGGTTGTGCAGCTCATCAAGCATCTGTGCAAAAGGTTTCAGTATCACTTAGTTAGAAACAAACATAGGCTTGAAAATTGTAGACATTTCAGTATAGTAAGGAGAATAAAGAAAACAGCAATAGTAAAACATCTTACTTTTTAGCCAGACAGCTAAAAAAAGTTAAGGCAGAATGTGTTCTGCTTCATGCACATGAATGTGTCGTTTTTTCTAACTCTAAACCTTTGCTTCTCTATCTGGTGCCTGGTTTTAGCTGGATTACGTGGTGACATGTGCTGTGTGCACACGCTCCGATGGAGGAGATATTCACATTCACAAAAAAAAGTCTCAGGTGAGATTACCCTGGTGTTACTTTGGATGAGAGGTTGGCATCCGTTAGTAGCTAATTCTAAAAACTGTACCAAAACCAGGGCAGTGGTTCTCAGGCTCTGCTCTGACAGATGCATCTCAAGCCTTTGTCTAGTGAGTTTCCTGCCAGCTATCTAAATGTGAGATCTAAAGGACCCTTATAGCCCCTCTCAGAAAAATTGTAAAGACATCTGCATGCTTGCAAGATTTATATCTTTGCCTACTGGATCTGGGGAGGGTGCTGGGGGAGGGAGAGGAGGGGTATGACCAACTGTTAACCAGTCTAAGGGTAAACCTGAAATTGTAGGAGACCTCAGTTATGCAAAGCTTTCCGGGTAAATGTGTAATGTAAGGTGGTCAAATGGCAGGCAATTTACTGATTACCAATTTATCTTTTTATTGTTTTATGAGATTCTTGTTTTCTCTCTTAAGCTGCTCATTCCTTCCATCTCCACACCAAAGGCTTTTATCACTTATTGTGTGCAGGGTAGAGTTATCCAGGGTTTAGCACAGTGGAGGAGGCTGAATAATAAGCATGTAGGAAGTAGGAATAAGAAACCCCAGACTTCTTCACTCAGTTTCCAGCAGATCTTGCAACAACTTTTTCTAGTTGGCAGAAGTTCTCCTGATCCTGTTGCCTTTAAAAGGCTGTTTCTCCCAGGCATTTCCATTCCTTTAGCTGCTCGTGTGACTTTACCTGAAATTCTCTTTAATACTCTAATTTTGTTTTGTCACTTTAAAACAATTGTTGCTTTGCCTACAAACAAAACTAGCAATGCTGATTATTGTATCTGTGATTTCCATTAGTTAGGCACGTAGTTCCCTTCATCTGGTGCTGTTGAGACACCACATTACACCACTGATGTAAGCCTTTTATTTCTCATTGCTTCTTCCACTGTTTACTCATCCAAATTTCATCCCAAATGAATTTCTGCAAAATTCTTGTGAGAAGAATCTGTAAATATTACTCACAGATTTGAAAACGAGGAAGATGAGGATGAGGCACCTGCCCTCACTGCGTGAGCAGTGTTTAGAATAAGGAGGAGGTTTTCTGTTCCTCATTCCTCGAGGCAGTACTGTGGGACTGCTTGTAAGTTTTTTTCTGTCTCCCCTTTCCTAGGAGAAACCCAACACATTGCAACATACCAGTACATACTAGTAACACTTCAACATCATGGAGTTGAATGATGGAGAGAGAAAAGGCAATTCTATATACTGTGGAAAGCTTCTTGCTGTAGGGCACCTCATCATAACACATACCATTGAGGCTCTTGGTTTTAAATGAACAAAAGCCAATATTGGATCTGTATTACTGTCTGATGGTTCTTGCTTTATAAAGTGTATGTTATCCTGTCAGCAGTCAGATGGTGAATAGCAGAAGCCCAGTTCAGGCACAGGACTTGTGTGCTACTCCAGACCTATGACAAAGCTACTGTATTCATACCAGTAGAGTACCTAAGGCACGAAACCAGTGTAAAAAAGGCTGTCATCCCCCTGAAATACTTTGCAGACTACACTGATTCTCTGCTGGCTTGACAGTAAGATCTACAAACTGTATCTTCCTCAGGTGTGTCTGACTGGGGGTGCATTTAGGTTTTGGTGGGGTTTTTTTCACTTTACATTGGATGGCACAAGAACAAGGATTCCTGGAAGATGTCCTTGTTTCGGGTGTTGGTGCAAGTGTCACCTTTGAAGAGTCCTGTTACTTTCTAATGTTGTTCTTGAGATGAAGCAACCTTTCTTTGAAATAATATGCGTCTAAAGGTGCAGGTAGGCTTCGTAAGTACAAATTAGGAAAAGCAACGCTGTCATGAACATCTAATATCCTAGCCTTAGTCACGTTTTGTGTTGGATGGTTTGTAGCAAGAGTACCACAAGCCTGGCAATATGGGCAGATTCGGAGCTTGCAACACATTCACAGTGGGCTAAGATTTGACAGGTTTCTTTAATTCAAAGCTTTCTTTCTCAACAAGTGGAAGCAAAGCAAGCTACTTGATATTAACTCTCCTCCCTCTTTACCTGCTTGTTATTCCTGATGACATAATAAAAATCTAGATCCTTTAGCTATTATAACGTAGGTTGTTTTGAGGAGTGATGCGACCAAAGGAGTTGAGGAACTGCTTCGCATGAAGGAACATGCAGGAGGAAACACAGTGGATAGAGAAAGAAACAGAAGCTGAAGATGAGGATGAGAAATTGAATGTTTGTCCTCCTGGAGGCCGTGCTTCCCATTACTGAGTGATGTTGAGCTTACTGTGGTACTGAACAAACAATAACGATGAAATTAACTGTACAAGCAAATAGTGTTAGGGCAACTACTCCACCGCAACTTTCTTGCTGTGTGTGCACTTTGCAGTGCATTTCAGTAACTTAAAGGCAGTTCAAGGTGGTTTTCTCTGCTAATGAAAAGGAGGATACCTTAGCTGTACCGCCGGATGGTGAGAGGTCAGGTGCACACAGAGACATTTGCTGTAGAGAATCTAGTGTTTGATAACTTCCGTGTGAAAACTCAAGTATTTCCCAAGTGTTGTCATTTTTGCAAACCAGGCTCTAGTCAGAAACCAGCTCAGCTTTGCCTACAGGACGTCCAGCATCTCCAGTGTACGTGAAAACGTTTGCTGACTGAGCAGTGTTGGACTGTGGTGTTTTGGTATTGCTCGCTTTGTATTCAGTGTGTCCATTCCTGGGCACCTTTAACTGAGAAGATGTATTTTTTTCTTTCCATATCTTTCTCAGCAAGTGTTTGCATCTCCTAGCAAGCACCCAATGGACAGTAAAGGAGAGGAGTCAAAGATCAGCTACCCCAACATATTCTTCATGATTGACAGTTTTGAAGAGGTGAGTTTCTTCTTGTGAGTTTTGTCCTGTTCTAGTCTTAACATCACGATTAGCTGTTCTCTTGTACCTTTTGAACAAATGTTCTTGGGTAACTGAGGGTTATCTTCCAGTAGTTTTTGTTTTATTTTATTTGACCACCTTCTTTCTTTCACATTTCAAATCTGAGAGCTTAAAGTTGCATTTTGTTTTCTGTCTTTATGATAGGCTAAAGCAGGATGGGCTGATGTGGGAGCTACTTAGCACATGATTTGCCATTTTGTGCTGTCTACAGTCTGTTTTTTTGAAGGCTGGGTTGGAGCATACATGTCCCCTCCTTTTTGCCATTTACACTGAAACTGCCTTGAGCCTAAGGACTGTCACAGAAGTCTGTGTTTAAACTTTAACAGCTGCGGTTTGCCTTGAAGTGTTTCACCTTGCATCTCTGGCAGGTTTTCAGTGACATGACTGTGGGAGAAGGAGAAATGGTCTGTGTGGAGCTGGTGGCCAGTGACAAAAGCAACACGTTCCAAGGGGTAATTTTTCAGGGGTCCATCCGCTATGAAGCACTCAAGAAAGTCTATGACAACAGGGTAAGGTGTTTCTGAAAGTCAACATCCTGTGCAACAATGATACCCTGACCACAATTTTGCTTTGCTGCTGAGCTTTTTGTCCTGTTAGGCTGTTAGGTCATCTTCATTGTAGTCTTTCTTTTTTTTTTTTTTTTTGCTTTGAAAGTTGCCTGAAAGCTAATGCTTTTAGCTGAGACAGCTGAGAGTGCTCAGATCAAGAAATATTACTCTAGTGTTTGCCAGAAGGAGTGAAGTTGATAAGAAGCCAAGATCATGACACAGGAATGGATCTGAATAAGAGAGTTCTGGGAGCCCTTTCGTTTTCTTTAAAGGTCATAGGTATTTCTAGTTACTTCAGAGAAGGCATGTTTTGCAGAGAGGTCTTAAACTCTGATACCTACCTTGCTATATGTAAAATGTGGGTTTTTTAGTCTGTTTTGTATTCATGGCTATTTTCAAAAGATCACTGTGGTTTCACTGCCACAGAAAGAAGCTTTCTTTTCTTTCCTACTGACACATGAAATGCCAGTTCTTTCAACTTCAAATTCAGTACTTAGTGCTGAAGTCAAGGGAGCCCAAGAGCCTTAATAAACTTCTGAGTTTGTTATGAAGACAGTCCTGAGAGATTTTAAAAAAAAAACCAAACACCCAAGCAACCAAACAAAAATCCCCACAATATCTACTGTGACTGTAAACATCGTTTCCCTTTGTTCTCCTTGTCAGGAGAGGTCCCAAATAATTTCTCTTCTCTGTTTTTTAAATGTGAGTAGTTATACTCTTCTACCAGTTTTTTGAGAGAATGTGGAACAAATTGTTTCTCTGTCCCAGCATCATCTTACAGCCTCATGCCATCAGCAGGTGGGTGGTTAAAATACATGGGAACACAGAATCCCTAAAGACATTATAAGAAGAAAACCCTGCAGTGGAAATACAAGATTTGATGTGGTGAAGCCTTCTCATAGCCTAGGAATGACCTGTTTGACCACAGAGCTACTTGACGTTGGTTTGTTAGATGAAATAAACTTTTACTCTTCAAATACTCAGTTATGGCCAAAGGCAAACTTGAAATTTGACAATTCTTTTGACAGAGCAGAAGCAGTCTCTCTATGCTCTAGAAGATTACTTTGTTTCAGTTGTGTCTGTATTAATTCTTAGTACAGCAGGAATTGTGTTACACGATGAGCATCTTAGCCCTTTCAGGCGATTTAAGGTTGCGATAAACGCTTAAGCTGATGGATAAGTCCTACTTATTTCACTTGGCAAAACCTTGACTGTTTTCATATTGGTCTGTTCCTTTTTTCAGTTCTCAGCTGAGTTTTCAGTTCAGTTGTGTTAACTGGAAATTGAGCCCTTCTGTCTGTTGAGAGGGTTCAAAAGCTGTCAGGGTTTTGCAGTGACCAGTGCAATGCAGGTTAGTTGTGCATGGGGGCTGGTTTTTTATGCTTTGGCCTTGACCGTGGGGACGCACAAGTGTCCGAATTCATCTGCCACACAGTAGTGCCAGGGTTGCTCTTTGCTAGCTTGAAGCATCTCGTGTGTCTATTGCGTTTTGGATAGCTGAACAAGTGTCCTTGCACAGGCTGCGTTGAGTTGTGCACGTGCCTGCTCTTGCTGTGGTGTGCCACGTTGTGTGGGTCTGGATAAAGAACTCGTGGTTTCTCCCAGTGTGCCCTTGGGTAACTCTGCCTTTTGGATAGCTGAGCGAGTTGATTCCTCTCAGAGCCTCTGTTTTTGTAGTGGTAAAATTGCTTCCCTTTTGGACATCAGATTGTGGCTTAAAACACATCTTAACAATCAAGATAATTATCATTATCCACTATGTTTTTGACTTAAATAACTGCTTTCAGTGAATGTTATTTCTTTGAAACACGGAGATGATATTTCTGGTTTTCTCTCCTGTCTTGATGCATCATAGGTGAGTGTGGCAGCTAAGATGGCTCAGAGAATGTCTTTTGGCTTTTATAAATACAACAACATGGAATTTGTCCGAATGAAAGGGCCTCAAGGGAAAGGACATGCGGAGATGGCAGTGAGTAGAGTGTCTACTGGTGACACTTCACCATATGGGACAGAAGAAGATTCAAATCCAGAATCCCCAGTGCATGAGAGAGTAAGTAGCAGACAGAAATATTGACTTAAGGTTAAGCATGAACATGTTTTGTTCCAAAACCAGTAGACAGACTGGAGCTGGGATTAACTCCCATCAAGGTTCTGCACTGAGGCTTGCCTGTGTATATTCTGAACATACTCACTGTATGCAGATGGATTTTGAGCACGGTTTCCCTTCAGCAAATACTCAGTGCAGAGATGACTGGATGATTCATACTTCTGGAGGAGTGTTTTGTTGAAACAGCAGCAATGATGATGCCAGGGAAAATGATAACTCTGCCTGTTTTCTCTGAAAATTAATAGATTCCATTTCTGTACAAGATGGGATTTACCTAGAAACGTGGAATTTGTGTATTATGTAGTTGCTTGCTAAACTCAGAGGAAATGGTACTGCGAGGAGATTTTGCCACTGATGAATGCTGCCAATGTGAAGCCTGTATAATATTAAAGCAAAAATTACGGACCTAGATGCACTACCATATTTATGCATGTGCTTAATTTTAATGCAAGTGCAGTGAAATATCAATAAAATCAGCCCACAGATGCTGATTTGGCCCTTAGTCTGTCTATTTTTTTTTTTTTTCCATTAAGGGATTGTCCTAGTTAATGGGAATTAGGCAACCTGCCTTCAGAATACCTACATAGATGTGTCCTGACCTAGGCTGGGTAGTCCCTGGTGGATTCTAGTCTGGTTTCCTGTGTAATACAGCTAACCTGTGTAGTTTAAAGGTCTGCAGGACTGCTTATGAATGTCTCCGCTGCAAGCTGTGTTTTTTGTTTCTGGCTTCCTGAAAGGCAAGATGAGCTGCCAGCACAGAGCTTGTTAACTGGATGTCCTTGCTCTCTACCTTAGAGATAGAGCCTGGAAAAATCAGGCCTGGAGGGATTTCCTGCTCTTTTGGCTCCAAGACTTTCAGCGTCAACTGGAAGATGTCAAAATAGATTTGATATCATTGCTTTTTGTTAATGGCTTTAATGGTGATTTGTCTGCTTCTGGTTTTCCCTCCAGGTGTGATTTGAAATGGCTACAGAATTAAAACTAGAGACAAGCACAAATTAGAGATCAAGTGCACTGCAGAGAGGATCAGTTGGGTGGTAGAATACTTTTACTTTTTCTTTTTTTTTTTTTTGACATCAACGATAGAGGGATGGCACAGTGTTTCTGCAGTGCAACACTAGCCTGGCTTGGCTGTCATCCTCACTTACATGTCACCTCCCTCTTTATGTGTATGGATGGATGTGAGCAATAACAGGTGTCATCTCGGGGACAGTTAGGGGATTGTTAAATTAACTGTGTGAAGAAGGAGGGATGAGATAGAAGTTACTCCCATTAGCAAAGTACTTATCCCTACTTGTTTTCACTTGAAATGAAACTATTAAAATATTACTAGTAAAAGCAGTACATAAACACTGCACTTCAGCCCTTTCTGAAATGGGCATAGTTGACTAGATTTGTGGTTTACTCAAGAGCAGCTACTGCTCTGAAGGAAGGGCGTCTCTACAGTATTGTCCATCACCTGTGTTTCACCATATACAATTATAGCCTTCACTTAGACTAACCAACTCATCAGGGACATGTCACTTGTTTTTCTCCATCCTGCACTGAAATATGATATACCTGTAATTGTACAGTGACTTCACTCTTGTGTCAGCATCCTGAGCTTTGTAATTGCCTCATGACCCTGCTTCGCAGAGACGCTGTGACCTTTCGTGGTGATCCCACGTGAGATCCTGCTACGCAGGGAAACCGCTACCTTGTGTCTGCCAAAGAATGAAGATGCACAATTTTAGTGTGTCCAGGAATACATTCTTAGCCTATTAAGTTTTCTGAATTTCAATATGCAAACATAACCTTCTTGGTGCCGAAGTTACTAATTTTGTTCCTTTATGACTATAAATTCTTGTAAGGCGTGACGAAGAGAGAGGTTTTTTGTTATTCATGTAACAGTTGAGGGTAATGATATATCAAAACGTTTCCATCTCGATGAGCATCTTGAAGCTCTGATAACTGTTCAATTCACGTTCTCTGGCCACTCCGATTAAGCTTACATCTAGACACTGGTCATGATTCTGATTTTTACCCGTGTGATGGCCTCATGGCACATATGTGAGACTGATTGTTTCTTACTAGAAGCACAGAACTTTTGTTTCAAAACTTTCTCTACAAGTCTTCTATTTCCCTTTCAGGTCACTTCTTTCAGCACACCGCCAACCCCAGAACGCAACAATCGCCCATCCTTTTTCTCCCCATCCCTGAAGCGAAAAGTGCCCCGAAATCGAATAGCCGAGATGAAAAAATCCCACTCAGCAAATGACAGTGAGGAATTCTTCAGAGATGATGATGGCGGAGGTGAGAGAAGTAATAGCTAAACGGACTTGACTGGAGAGGGCACAGACCTATGGAAAGGGATCCCAATGCCAGATTTTCTAAACGGTTTGCAGTGTGAAAAAACTAACTCCACAGAATGTCCAACATCAGCGCCACTCTGAAAATAGGGTTATTCACAGGGTTAGCATCTTTTTGAAGGCTGGAGACCAGCAATTCCTGCGTAAGTTTAAAACTTATCTCCCCGTTTTATATAGACCCATCTGAGTGGAATTTGAGCAGGGAAGATCCTTCCTCTTTCCCAGATAACACACTCTCAGGTGACACTCTTCCAGATACCACAATATAGTGGGGTAGGGCATGCTCTTGTGGACAAGTTCTCTGAATTCCCTGATTTGCTCCACAGTCGGTTAAAGTTGGTGAAAAGGCATTTACTTCAACTGGCTTTGGATCCGTTCTGAACTCTAAAAAGAAAACCTAATGAATTTGTTTGTGTGATGGTTTAATGCCTTGTGAAACTCTTCTTTTGAATTCTAGTTCCTCAGCATGAAGCAAACAACAAGATAAAAAAATGAGTCCGATTCAGAATATAGCATACAAATCCAGTCATATCAGAGTTTTGTTGGGTGGGAAACTCAGAAATATCAAAGTCCCAACTGCTTTTCAGATGTTTAAAAACAATTCAGTAGAAGAGCCAAACAATCTGTCTGTTGGCATGCTGATAGATAAACACAAAGGTAATTTCCAGATCACAAATTCTGTTTGTAATAGCAGAGGTGTTACCTACCAGTGGTACTGGACCAGCTTAACTAATAAACAATTGCACATTAAAAACCCAGCTTAAGTGATAATGATTCATTCAAATTCTGCGTAACTTAAACTGACTGTGACTAATTCAGGCTTCTGTCAGTAGAAACCTTTCCTCACTTATTTTTCCTTAATTTGCCCATCAAAAGTCTGTTATTTCCAATGAGATGGGAGAAGGGCAGCTTTCCCAGCTGGAGTCTTGCTTTTGAAATCTTTCTCCTGGAGGTTACACAGGGTAGGATGGAGCTCAGGGTGTTTATCTAGCAGCCTTTATAGATGGTGCTAGTGTTTGCTCAGTATTGTTTTGCAGGATCTGATCCCAGCATACTTAATCATAATGATGAACATTTCTATTATTTTCATTTTCTTTTCTTTCCAATATATTTATGGAAGTAAACAAATTCCAGGTTTTCCAGGCATTTTATAGCACGCATATAAAAAGTGTCGTTTCACTGAGTTATAAATGTTTTGAGCTTTTTATTCCTGGTCCTAAAAATAAATAGAGGAGTATTTTAAGAGCGTATCTAGGAAGTTTAATTTATTCAGAGATGAGATTTTTACAAGAAGGAGTAACTGAATTGAGGTTTATGAATTTCAGAAACTTGAGCGTCCGACCAGTGTTAGCTCAGGAGCTGTGACGGTGAAATTCTTGTTTCAGAGTGGGAAAGCTGACTTCAGTTCACCTAGTGATGGGATTTCGTAGAAGCAGAGATTTTGGGGCATCTTGGCCTTGTGGGTGGGGGATAACTTGCTTGTCTACGGATCAGTGGCTTGCTCGGCCTGGCCCGTGCTGCCGCAGCCCTGCCCCAGGGTAGACAGACCTGTTGTGGACAGGACCAGCCCACGAGGGCCCACTTCACTTACTCTTTGCTGTGTGCAAGCTTGACCCAGCGAAGGAATTGTACTTACTCCTTGTGACCTGATCTCCATGATGCTTTTGGCATAGTGGTAATGCGTGGGGAGAGGGAGTAGACTGCCTGGCTATACTCGTTTACAGGGAAGGGAGAAAAACAAGATGCATTTTTTTCTCCCCCACATTCTTACGCATCTTGCCTAGAGCAGCTGCCACTGCGTGTTCTTCCTTGGCTGGGGCCTCTCTGTGTGGATCAGGACCTGCTTTTAAACAAATGAGTCCCAGAACTTGGATCACTCTGGATCAGGGTCACGTTTACTTCAACGTCTGCTTTTAGCACTGTGGGACAAGGCTGGGTTGTGCACGGGAACAGAGGGAAAGTTTAGAAACACTCAAAATATATGGCATGTGCCTTCCTGGCTGTGGGAGAGACCTGCAGCTTTAAAAGCTGCCTCTACTCTGCAGTGGATTCAGCACCCTTTTGTTTTAAAAGTTATTTGTGGACCTCTAAACTAATTATGGGAAGAATGCCACTGCTGAAGGGGCCCAGGTTTGGCTTGGGGGGTGCATGGAAATCTGCAGTAAACTGGCTTATTCACGCTGACTCTCCCCCTGTCTTGTAGATGTCACTTTCCTTCCTAAGATACGATTTTCCTCCCCTTACACTTGTGAATTTCTGCATGAGTAACTACTTAATTGTAGGGATATTCAATTACTTTGTTTATGAGGGAAGGCTGGGTTAAGGTTCTGCTTGTGCAATGTGGTCGCAAAGGCTTCATTCCCTCTCCTGGCTGGTCTAATAGTGGGTAATGGTTTATTGCTGTTTCCAGCTGCGGAAACAGCAGCTGGAAAACTGTATTAGCTTCAGTGTACACGGTGAATTCTGTGGTAGGCAAGATCTGAGTAATTAAAGAAAAAAAGTAGTAATAATAGTGATGGGCATGTGACTTCTCTAGACAATTAATAGTAGGCTTTTCTCGTTTTGGATTTCAGCAGCTTTCATTGGGACTTCCCAATAAGAAGCAGACAGTGCAGTCACTCTAAGCTTGCTGTCTTTTTCCGTTACAGATCTGCATAATGCGACAAATCTGAGGTCGCGGTCCTTGTCTGGAACAGGACGGTCTCTGGTGGGCTCGTGGCTGAAGCTGAACAGAACTGATGAAAACTTTCTACTCTATGCACACCTAACTTACATCACTTTGCCATTGCATCGAATTTTAACAGGTGAATTTTAACATGTATTATGCGTAAGCAGATTGTTCTTTGATTCCAAAGCACAATTTCTTCTGTGTTGTGGGATTTTGCTGCCAAGTTCCCACAAGAACAAGTGTTTCTCTGTAAGGGCAATACTGTAGCAGCAAATCAGTGTGAACAAGTGGAACGGTGTCAACCTGTTCTTTGGCTTTGGGCCTGTTTTGCTTGGTGACAATTAGAACAAGTTGGTAGATTGTTCTAACCAACTCCCAGAGGAACACTTTAATACTGGATTTCAAACTTAGCCATCTCATGAGTGCAAGGCAACTCATTGTGAGCCCGTCCACTGACAGCAGTAGTTGTAGCAGGAGCCTGTGACTGAAAGGGTTATGGAAAGGCAGCTCTGAAATTTGGAGTGACCTCCTTTGCCAATTTTGACTCTTTGATTTAATTTCCACATAAGTTGTTTGGACCGATCAGTGCCCACACTGATGCCCATAAATCTGTCAGCTGTCCAGTGTCTTTAACTAGACATAATGATGTTGTGCATTCTACCATATCGGTCTAGCTATGCCAATTAGTACATTACGATGGCCAACAATGCATTTGTTCAGCTGGGCTAGGGTAGCACAGTAAGTTGGGGTTTACAATCTGCAGGCAGTACTGAAGTTCTGATTTTCATCCAGATGACTCTTGTCTGCCTACGCATACAGGTGGATGAGAGAAAACTGGTCTGTTTGAGCTCTATCCATCAGCAAGCCTGCTAGCTTTTCAGGGATACAGCTTGCAGTATGAGGGTGCCCATGGGATTCTTAAGATACATCCAAAAACTGAGAAAGCTGTGGTTAAGGACTCTCTCCTCTGCCTAAATGTGGTGGCAGTCTCTTTCATATAGACATGGCTAGTGTTACTGTCTGTTCTCTTCATTCTTCCAAAGTGAAGCCCTGAAATACCTTCTTGTTGACCGTTGCGGGCAGAAGGGAAGTTTGATCCAGCTGCACAGCAGGATCTTAGGCAAAACTATTTTTTGACTCCAAAGTCTGGATCAGAATAAAGTTATGATCCCAAAGCAACGTAAGGTCCTGTCCCTAACCTTGAAAGTTCCTTATAACAGTTACTTCCTCTAAGAACTTAATATTCTTCCTTCTCTTCCCATCCAGCAGGTGGGATGGCTTCTGAATAGGTGTGTCTGGACTGTGGGCTCTTGACCAGTGCCTGATTTTTCTTGTCTGGGTTTAAAAGGAGAACACACCTGAAAACAAAACCAATATATCACACAGTGATTATTTCCAGGCTTTTCCTGAAAGGTAGCCGAGAGGGAAGGAGTTGGGAAATCTGTTGTTAAACAGGTTAATCTGCTGCTAAAAGAGATGAGAAGATAGTCTGGGCATTCATGTCATTAGTTGTACAGTGCTGGTGTAATAGCTGCAGTCTTCTCTTCTGCAGGCTGAGATCTCAGAGCCTGTTGTAGACGTGTGCTGGCTCGTACGCCACAGAGAAGGAAAGTGTAGCTGATAAGGTAGAGGTGAAAATCATACTTAGCAAAGAGGTGTTTCTACATTTGCCCTTTCACTATGTGTAGGGATTGATTTCAGTTGAGAAGAAATTATGGATTCCAGTAAAAATTGATCCTCTTTTAATTAAGGGTGGATTTTGAACAGTGTTTCAGCAAAATACATAGTTGCTCCTTACGATAGTTGTGTTGATCGTCTTACAGCTAGTTAGCTGGAGTTATCAAACTCACTCACGCTCTCACCACAGGCGTTTTGGAGTTCACAGAAGATGTATTGTTCCTGCTGGCATTTAATACTCGCTCAAGTGGGTGGCATAAATGCCTCCATGCTCAAATATTTGCTTTGAGCTTGAACATCCTTTCTGAGACTTAATTTGTTTAACACCTGATTGCAGGGATGAGCATATACATGGAGACGCACAGAAATAGGACGTGAAATGTCTGGGCTGTAAGGCAGAATGTTAATCTGCAGTTTTTCACTACCCCAGGTTGCTTTAGCGTGGCACGTTTCCAGTGCCTTTTTGTAATGAATGCACTTGCGCCGGTGGCAGCTTTCCGGCAAGTGGGAGCGTTACATGTGGGGCAGGGTGAAGTGGGAAAGGTACTCATCTCCCTGGGGTAGCTTAGGAAAGCTGTATTAAGAATTTAAAATCCTGGTGATAGTCATCAAAGCACATTTTAAAATGCCTGGAGTTGATACATATTGGTAAGACTTTGCTCTGAGCCTTCTCTCCATACTAGGTAATCCCAGTTCTCTCAGCCTCTCCTCGTATGTCAGATGATCCCTTAATCATCTTTGTGGCCCTTCACTGGACACAGTCCACTGTGTTTCTTTACAGGTTTGGCTAGAGCTCTCTGGAGCTGTGGATCAATTTTTACTCACGTCATCCTCTTTGTGCGGCTGCGTGTGTGATCAGCCTCTTAATTAGGCGTGTTGTCCCTTTTCCCATGTTCTTTATTCTCTGTGTAGCCTTGAAAAGGACATAGCAGCCCAGTTTCCAGCTATTTCTACGTACTGCCTTGCCAGCATGCTGGCTTTACTGTCCACGTTTGGGAAGATGTCCATGACGATGACAGATACTTTACAGGTTCATATTGTGTCACATTTGGACAATATGGAGCTGAGGAGCCACAGGTTTTGTGGCAGCTTTTGAAGTGCAGAAACGTAGCCTTAGGCTGCAGAATGGATGGAACAGTTGAATTATTTGTGCCCACATCTTCAGAGCCAGAAGTCTCTTTAAGGGTCTTGGGGATGGTGGGTTTCTCCGTTCAAGAAAGGGGAAACCCTTGCCATCTCCTGTAACGGCACTTGAACTCGTTTCTCTGGAAGATTACACCACTCTGTCTCTGACACATGTTGCTTCATCCCCCTGTAAATGATGCTCAGTAGATCAGCTGATATCTCTGCGTGATGGGATGTATTTGCAGCTCACCATCTCAACGAGGATGCAGCTGGGGAGGAATTAAAGTGGACTTAGTTGTTGATGGGCAAAACCATGTTCCTTGTGTTTTTAAGTTCCTTTAGCAGCCTGACAGGGGGACGGTGCTGCAGCCCACAGCTGCGTCTCCAGTTCCTCTTGCTTTCTGGGACTGTGGGTACTTTCAGGAGCCTCCTAAGTTTGCTGTATCTCTTTCTTTGTCTCCCTTGCCCAGATATTCTGGAGGTGCGGCAGAAACCAATTCTGATGACATAGCAGAGAGCGGGCACTGCCTTGGAGCCTTGTTGCCAAGTGCCTACCCACAGCGGTTTTCTGTGCTAACACTACCACCTAGTGTCAGGAACATAAACCTCCGCAGGAAAAAGGGAAGTCCGAGAATACCAGCCGATCAAAAAGTGCCTCTTTCTTCCTTCCTCTGCTGTCATACACCGTATGCCCACTTGCAGTACATCGCTTGGGTGTTCTTCTGACTGGAAGAGGACTTTCAGCACGATGAAACAAGAAGGGGCTGTGTTTAAAATGAGTCAACGCTTTATGGACAGCTTGTTACTGTGTTTACTTTATAACTAAGAAACCAACAACATGTACAGAACCTGTAAACTTTATATTCTTGGAGAGAAACAACCTGAGAATTTCATAACGATGTGCTAATTAACGCTGTTCCATAGACTCTCGCCCGTACACTCTCCTGGTCCGTTTGGCTTAAAGTGCGTGTGAGCGCGTGTGCGTGCGTGGGGGGGATTGAAGGGATGAGGGAATAATTCCCTGCTGAGGGAGGAAAAGGAAAAAGATGCTGCAAAGATACATCGTCATTTTGTTGACGTGCAGCAGGTCAAGTCAGAGCTTAAAGGAGGCTGAAAATGTTCCCATTTGTTCGTGTGTCAGTGTTGGGACAGGTGAACTCTGCTGACAGATTTTCGTGTCTACCAAAGAACAGCAACATTTTCATCCTCAAGAACTGTCTGAGAAAATGAGCCGGTGAAAAGAAGGCTACAATGTGCTGCTAGAGTAAAGTTGAAGTTTATACCAAGTACTCATGCTGCTCGTCTCTGTTAGCTGAGTCAATACAAGTTTGAATCTAAAGTGGAAAAGTAGGACACCATAATTGGACTCCCAAAACCTAAAAACCTTAGCAGTAGCCAACATCCTCCTGCATGCACTGGACTTCAGAGTATGTAGAATCGTCCTCGCAGTAGCATTTGTAGCCAAGGCGGGCACGGGAGCTGACTGATTGGTGGGCAGCCTGCCCGGATTCTTCATCTCCCGGTGGCGTTTTGTTGTACTGTTACATGCCAAAGCACGGATAGTTGTCTTGCAAGACAAAAAATTGAAGCGTAATTCTGCTGAAAAGTGACTAAAAATAGCATAGTGGGAACTCTGAAAACTGTGGGTCAGGAGCTCTCAGGAAAAAAGCCTTATGTTTACAGGTAAAATGCAGCTTTCTCTAAATAGCAAAACTCTGCTGTCCTTGGCGTTTGAAGCTGGATAACGGACTGCTGAGAGTACTGCAGCCTGGGTCGCTGTTGTGAGACGAGGGCCAGTCAGTAAGTCAGTTTATTTACAGCCGCATGACTGGCACAGCAGTGGGTGGGGTAGCGTGTCTCTTAGGGCATGCGGGACTCCGATGCACGCACAGAGAGCAGAGATGCCATTTTTGTCACTTTTTAGGCTTTGTGTGCCTAAGCTTACACTGGGGCCACAGTTACGAATACGGCATGTGCTCTGAGCCTGATCCTTAGATTTCCTCGTTGTTATTCTGTCAATAGCATCTGGTGACTTAACCTCTCAAATAGGACTTTTTTTCCCCTCAGGCCAGCTTCCACGGGCATAGCTCCACTTCAGTGTAAAGGTAGACCGAGTTTATCATTCAGCCCAGCGTGGTACACATGGTGAGGAGGTCTTGCTTTATTTGAGGCAGTCACCTTAGCGCAGGCCGATGGCATTTTTAACACCGGCAGCATGAGTGCATGGCAGGAGCAGTTTAGTTTGCTTCAAATGTGTTGCAACAGTGTTAGAAAATGTTCGTTTTCATTACCAGCGTAGCCACTTTTCACACTGCAGCCTTTGGACTTTGCTCCCTGGGAGTGTGCGGTTGTGCACGTGTGTACGTGAGGGTGTTGACACCGTCTAACTTCAGGCGTGTAACTTGGGTGCCTTGGCTTTCTTCCTGAGCCGGGGGGAGAGGTGGAGTCCTAAATCCGCAGCCAAAGTGCCCTCTCTAGGAACCAGCTAGGCAGCCTAGGTGCTTACGTGAGATCCCTAGACAGTGTGCCTGACACCTGTCGGTACGAATGTTCTTCCCGTGCCCGTGCCGAGGATGAAACCCCTCTTCAGCTAGAAGACCTGCCCTACTCTGGAGCCTCTCAAGATGCTCCTTATTCTGCACTTTGATACTGCTGGGCTGGGCAAATCAGTGCTTGGATTTCCTTTAAGTACTCATTGGCAATGGAAGGGAGAGAGGGTTGTATTTGTACTACCAGTGACAACGGATCGCTTGCAGTCAAACAGCCAGAGGAGTAACACGTGTGAATGGGAAACATTCCCAGATTGGAACCCGAGTGGTAGGTGCCTGAGTACTTGTCAACTGACAGTAATCCGCAATGCTCTCCTGGAATCGTGCGTTACGTTTGGGTAGCTTCATTTCGTGCCATCTGAAAGTCTGAGCAGATCTTGCTGGGTAAGATTTCAGAGCAAGCGAAGAATGATTCCAAACCATACGTTAGTACAAAGGCAGTGTTAGAGGAAGTACAGTTCAGATCCCACGTCTGTTATGCAGGAGGGATTGTCTGCGGTCTTACATGTTTGTGGGTGGATTTTGATGTGTGGTTTGTGAAAGGCTGCAATGTAGACCTCCTAAAAAAAAAAAAAAAAGTCAATTTGCTTCTTGTATCTTGCTAGTGGATATGCCACAGGTACGTTGAAGACACCTTTTTTTAGTAGAAAAGGGCTACAGATACGCCCAGGTGGACATCCGTAGAAAACGGAGGTCGAAAAGCCGACTGAATGTAAATAGTGCTTTTTGGAAATGAGTAGATGTGCCAGATTCTCAGTTATTGCTTCTCTAAACAGCTGACTTCTTATGTATAGCCCCCAGTTCCCACTGTCTCTTATCAAGTGGGAAAAAACAAATTCCCCGTTTTGTTTTGCTTTTAAACAAACCCTGAAAATTATAATTTATTGTCCTGGTATAGACAGATTGACAGGGGAGATGGTCAGAGTTTTGCTGGGGTCGGGGTGTCACAGCTGGGCCCTTCGCATGCTATTGCACTATACCAAAACAGAACAGGGAATGTTAGTAGGAACCTTGCACCCTTTTCATCTGGGGGGGTGTTCGGTTCCGTACCTCCTGAGCAGCAAACCGTTTTGAGCCTCCGTTGGCCACTTAGCATTGCTGAGGGATGACGTGGGGTGTTGTGCCTGCCGTAAAGGCTGTATGGCTGTTGGTGTCTTAACCGTTGGAGCACGGTGGTTGTCGTTAGCTGTGATGACGCGTGGGAACGCAGCACGGTTGACAAAGTTGGGCAGCTTTGCGGAACAGCTTTCTTGACAGCACCGTACCTCATTCCTCCGTTACCTTCTTCCATCCATCTGCCCGTTGGCTCCTCCTGGAGATGGAGACTTACCCCTCAAACTCCCCACAGATGGTGTGTATTGATAGGTGCCAAATCCAAGGATGCAAATCTTTTCACCCTTAACAGGTACTTCACGGCTATCGGTTTAACAAAAGTGAAATGTTTTTTAAGGAAAGCTCCTAAATCAATTCTTTTGTATTACTGCTCTGCCACAGAGACCACCACCACCCACGTATGTGAAGTTGCTTCTCTTGTTGCTAGCCAGCACAGGGCAGGTTCCGAGTCTCCTTTTAAAAGAAGCAGCCATTCTTAGAAACACCACAAATCTAAGCCAGTTTGTGGGGGTTCATTTATGTTCCTTCTCTTTTTCTTCTCCTGGTCTTCATTGTTTACAAGGCTTGGGTATGTTGGGCTCTGGATCGCCGTTACTCGTTCCCGTTTCTGGGCACGGTGTGCTTTCCCGAAAAGAGAATTGTTTGCACAGGTGAATTTTCACAATAAAATGGTTTTCCCAAAGTACACTCTTACACCAGGTTTTAATTTAGACGGTGAAGTCCTTGATTTCTTTTGGGCATCCCTCATCTACAGGATCCCATCTGGTCACTGACATTCTGTGTGGGTGGGAAGTCCGCGTAAATACGCTTTTGGACTATTGACCTGCTTCTTGCTAATGATTAATTTATCCCTTTCCAGGTGAGTGCTTGTCCTGTATTTTGTAGTCTGAAGCTTCCCCTTATTAAAGATGGATATAAGAGAAAATCCTCAGAAGTGCCTAAGCTCTGTTGTTATCCAGTGGGGTTTAAGAACAAGTTTTTATTTAGGAAATGAGCAAAATACTCTTAAATTCTTATCTGTGTTGTGCGTGGCAGCGTCAAGAAGTGACAAGTTTATAGTTCTTGGGAGAACCGGACGTCTCCTACAAACTTGCCCTTTGTGTTCGAAAGACTCGTGGTCTCCAGAGGTCCTGAAAGCTCTGGAAAACGGATCTCTTGTGTTCACAGCAGTTGGATATCTGCAAATGCCTTATTGTGGTTTGCGAGGTACGACGGAAAGCGTGTGCTGCTGGCGTGCAGAAATCCTGTGTCAAAAATAGTTGCGGTAGAATCCAGTTTAAAGGCATTGTGAAATAAGTAGCTTTTGCAGCAAACCTTAAACAAAAGAGTATTTTACACCAGAATCTAGCTGTTCGGATGCTCGGTCAGGGTAATACAAGGCTGCAAGCAGGTTGCGATGTTGAACGTTCTCTGTGTAAATATATAAGTATTAACACATGTTGCATGGTTCGGGTTTTTTTGCCTCGTCAGTCATTAGTGTTGATTAAAAGATGGTGGGTTGAAAAATCATGCTGGCACTGTACTGAGCCCTCTGAACAAAGAGCGAGGAGATCCCTCCTGCGCCAACAATTAAGTTGACGTTCCCTACGGCAGCAGTGAAGGAAGTGTTGGACCCTGCAGCCAATAAACAGACCTCTTAATCGACTGTGAATTCTGCTAATCGTGTTTTCTCACTCCTGTGCCTCGTGGTGTTGGTTGGAATGTGTTCTTTGCTGGTGGCAGGCGTCGGTGGCGGAATGACGCCGTGCGGCGCTTGCAGTAGGCGCTGCCAGAGGCGCTCGCAAATCGGCCTCGTTATTCCTCGTTCCCGCTCCGCTTTGAGCAGCGCCCAACTTCTGACTCGGCTGGCTGAATCTTTCAGTGACCAGCCTCTGACAGCCTGACATTCCTGAGGGGGAAGAAGGTAAAAGTCAATGTACTCCCCAATTTGTTTTTAAAAGCTTTTTGGTTTTTAACTTTAGATTCGAATATTTAAAAAAGAAAAAACCAAACACGCCAAACCCAAAACACAACCCAAACCCCAAAACAGCCGTTCTAAACTCAGTTACGTAGTCATTACTGTTCAGGTGTGTGTAGTGTGTAACAGCGAGAGAGTGATGGCTGTAACGACTTCTTCCTGGCCAACTCAGGA